TTCTATTCAACGAAAGGAGACTGCGACCACACAAAAGGCCACACCATCTTGGTCTTCATACCTTCGATTATAATGCATTTATTTTCGGTATACGCAGGCCTCGAAGCTAATACCAGTGCTTGAATAATAGTATACTCAGTCACAAGTAGTCTCTTAAGCTGACTCGATGCAATTATTGTCCTACTAGCGTCATACTACTGATATCCAATTGCTATTATCCACTCCGAGGCATCACAACAGCCCCAGGTGGAGAGTCTGGCCACGGGTGACAGTAGCCCGCGGGGCACGCAGCGGCATTCGCCGTAGGACAGACCTCGAGGCTGCCCAGTCCCGGATTTGGACGATCGATACATATTTCAGATGTGCTCCTGCCGTCTGTCGGATTGAGAGTAGCTCTGCCGTCGTGGCAGGCAGTTGAGCAGACCGACCACCAGAAAGGCGGGCCGTCTCGAGCACTGGCAGCCGTGACGGCCACTGCCACGTCGGCGCAACTCGCTCGAGTGGACCGACCGAGATCACGTGTCGATCGAACTGCCCGACTGTCTGTACACTCCGGGCTCGCCCGGTCTCACGCTCCCACTGCTCTGCAGGGCCCAAAAATTCTGTTTATTTTGCCTCAGCGGATTGTCACAATAATCGGCCTTGCCCGGCCCGAGTGTTCATTCCGTTGAGCGTATGTATGTGAGTGCGTGAGTACACACACTCAAACTCCAACGCCAATTTCACTTACAGGGCTTGAAAGCATGCACTCAAGGAGGGGGTGATTATCAAGCCCATGATGAGACAGACGCCAACGGCGTGCGTTTAAACTTTACGGTTTTGGCAGCCAAGTTGGCCTGCCTCTAGTGCGCCTTTGTCCTGGCCGGAAGTCCAATCAGAAGAGAGCAGACCAGTCTCATCGACCAGAAGCATATTCTTGCTTGGCCTGGGCAGAGGACGAAAGTCAAATCATCCCAACTGCCCTTTTCTGGGCGTGCACCCACGCGTTTTTTCAGCCGCCCATATCGCGTCATGCCCCGATGGAAGCGTCTGGCGCGGCATTCCTGATTCCATCAAACGTCCCTGTCGATGGGTCATTCCCGCCTCCAAATGCAGCTGCAATGGGCCTGAATGCGGCTAACCTTTCATTTCGTTTGAAGAGGCGAGTGCAAAGGCTATTTGCACATCGGATGCAGAGGGAGGATTTTGCCTTTCTCGTTGTAACTAGTTTTTTGTAACTCCACTCACCGTCTTGCAATGCCCATCAATCAGAGCCGAGCTTTCGTCTGTCTCAGTCTGACGAGCATCACCAGATCTGGAAAGCGATCTTTACGAAAATTCACCAAGCCCTACAACAAGAAAGATGATAAACTGCGATCCCGTCAAATGAGTCATCTCATTATTTTTGACAGATTCTCCTGCGCTTATGAAAGTTGAGCTTTTGGGCGTCTTTTGACTCATACTCGTTGATGAAAGACTCGAGGGTCAGTCGCGCCACCGGACGTCCTTTGCTTCGGGTGAGGACGGATTAGGTTTGGAGCTTTCGAAGGGATGGACGAAAACTGGACCAGTTTTTACCGTAATCGAGGGAGTATGTCTTGTGTACTGCGCTCACCGGAACGGCGTAGTACAAACAAAGAGGGTAGTTAGCTGTGCTCAGTTGAGATCGAACCACGAGTCTCTATTAGGCACAC